TCACCGTTCGCGATTTGCTTTAAATAAGGAGGCGGCTCGTCGCATTTTGTTTTGAAATGCACTGCAGCGGTGACCAAACCCTCATTGTTGCCTTTATACAGAACTGGGCCTTTATTTGACTGCAGCCGGTAATGATGCATACTGATTATTGCAGCTACTGCACGCTCTTGATGGGGTTACGTTCGCTGTGAAAGTACCTCATTTGTAGGACCTGTGGCTCGGGGTGGCGAAAAGCCAGTCTGAAAATAGTCGCTGGAGGAATTCATAGGGCTTTTTGCATTTGTTGGCACTAGAGTTGGTAACAGGCAAGCCGATTGTGTAAAGTTTGTTTTGACCTGTGTGTGTCTATATAGCTTGAATCTTCCTCCTCCCTCTCCTCTAGCGCTATTGAACAGAGCTTCAAGGAAGGCAGTGGTTTAAGCGACATGGAGCAGGAGTACCTGAAGGCCCTGGAAATCTCGCGCGTCGAGGTTGAAGCGGAGGAGCAACGGCGACGTCAGGAGGCGGAAGAACTGGACCGTATCCTCAAGCTGTCTCTTGTTGAGAAGTGAGATGTCCCTCGGCTGCATTTCTTTCGTCCCCGGTCCTCATCGATCTCGTACCCCTGGAGAGGCGAAGACTCACTGTCGTTATTCATGGCTTCTGAATTTCTAACCTCCCACTGTTTCCCGGTCTCAGTTTCTAGGTTTCGCTGACTTCTATATTTTAGCATCCGCTCTTCTGTCCACTCTATTACTTGTTCGCCTCTCCCCCCACCCCTCAAAAGACAATCGAGTTTTGTCTCATCAACTTGTTAAACATCCTAGTATACTTATTCGTCAGCTCTCTTAACCCTATGCGTGTCGACCTGGGGCTGGTGCGGAGCACTTTTGCGTTTTGATGCTCAGCGATGGTTAACAATCTGTCTGGCATGAGTTCCGTATCTGCAGAATTAAAAGACATAAGCACGGTCGGTTATCCTACAAGTAAGTTTGCGTTGACTTCACGGACACTTCGTATCATATTCGCCTAGCTATTTAATTGGTCGGCTTGCTGGTGTCGAATCAAGCAGAAAGCTCGGATTGTTGTTAAAGTACGTAAGCCTTTGGCAGTCTACACCTCTGTTTTCTTTCCCAATCGCTTGGATGTGACCTTCTATCTAAAAGACATGGCATTGACGTTAGTTATTTACAATCTGAATTGTCACGGGCATACTCGGAAATTCAAAGACCAAGAGCAACCTCGGTGACCAGGGTTTCTCACCTTAAGGGTAACACTTTCATACGTCTTCTCGGGTGGAATTCCCACAACAGTTTTGGGCACAGCTTTCAGTAGGACTTGGGATTCTTAACCTTAAGCGCTTAGTCAAAGCTCTGACACTCGCAACCTAAACCACTTATTGATAGTTACTCTTCCGTAGATGGCTTGCAGATTACTTCTTTATTATCCAGACAGTATGCTCCGTCGAAGGGAGTGGATGAAGCTCAACCATCCGCAAATACAGTAGGTTACATTACTCGTGCAAACTCTTGATCGAAATTCGAGTTTGTACTTTAGCATATATTTGTTCTTATTATTTTAATCTGTTGAATAGAGCTGGTGTTTAGAAAGCCTTTTACTAAAGACAGTTGCCTGTTCATTCTTGTTTATTAGAGAAAAAAGGTGAGATTTGGCCGGAATTGAAGATTGCCGGATATCCTATAAATTTCCTCTTATTTGATAAGACACAAAATACCTTTTGTTTTTTTATGAGGTCCTATATAATTACACCAATATAGGCAGGACAATTTTAAAATGAATATCTTACGAAGTCGGGGCGGCTTATTTCAAGTTAGTGAGACACAGGTGGAAACAGGTGTAAGGGATCACATTGTTTTCAACACACAAGGAACGATCTCCGCTGTAAAAAATTAGGCGACAGTAGTTTAAGTAGTGCACCTCATATACCCCTAGTCCCGGCATTTTGTCCTGCAGAAACGGGGATTAAAGGGATTTTATGTGGGGGGGGGCAATTAGGAAAGCCAGTAGAATATACTTTAATAAATGCTATATGCATTTTTGTTTTATTGCATTTAGAAATGTTGATTTATATCTGTAAAGTTTCCTAATCTGTATTATCGTTAAACGTTTTGCGGAAAACCCAAATTATCAAATTGCAGGTTTCTTGAACTTCCTGAAAATAGAAATGATGGTTAAGAGGTCGCCTACTTCAACGTACGTGAGGTCCAACTTGCCGTTCTGGAGTTAGATAAGTATATTCAACAAAAAGTGTGCGATAATTAAAAGGTGCAATTATGCAAATTTTGGGAACTAACTAAATTAAAAAATAACTAACTGTAACTAAAATCAACTAACTAAAAACGTAAACTAAAGTAAACTTAATTGAATTTACTTTAAAAAAAACAGTTGAAAACTGAAATAAAAAATTGTAAACTTAATGATGAACTGAAAACTGAACTCAAATATAAAAAGGTTAAGTAAGCCAAAAAAAATACAATAACGTACAGTTGTTGCGCATGTAAATTAAATTTGTGCGCGGCGCTTCACGTCGCGAACTATACTAATTTAACTCTAGAAGTATATGCTGGACCTCAGGTTAGTTGGAATAGACGACCTCCTAATCACCATTTTTTCAGAAATATCAAGAAACCCAACAGACTATAAAGTAAACGTAAGTAAAAATGTTAAAATTTTTCACACCCAATAAATTATAAGTAAATAAGAAATATAAGTAAATTCTTGTGTTTATTTATGGCGTGCTATTTTGTGGGGAAAATATTAGGTTATTTGAACAATTTCTGGGACCCAACTAGTATCCCACCTAAAAATCGATAGAAATGTATGTTTGGAATGGCCGACACAGGTAACTTGGAGGGTGTCCACCGAAAGGCTAATATGTTTGCGTATCTCGCGTGTGAGGTTGCAGGATGTAGAGAAGGTCGGGGTCAACAATATGGGATACGAAGTAGTCCGACCGGGTAATAGAAGATTAATGTATCCGAACGGTTATAAACTAGTAAATAAGATAAGGCGTGAAAGGCCAGAGTGTTATGAATAAGTTAATTCAGCGCTTAAGGAGTGAAGTATAAGTAATGCGTAATTGACTCCCGAACAAGTGCAGTCCAGTCGTAAGCGGGCCGGGCTCTGAGTCGCATTCCAGCCATGAGGTCGCCGGGTCTGGTAGTGTCTGAGCGTAGGCAGCCACGGCAATAAGGTCCTTCGTGAACTGGACTTGGAAAGTGATTGGCCATTTAGGACAGACAGATGGTGAACACATGTCCTTGACCTTAACCTGCCTTTGAGACGTTCTGGTGCGCACGTGTTTAATGGGCACGAGAGACATACGTTGGGCCTGCCCCAGGGGCGTGCGAGGAAACCACGGCTTAGAATACGAGTTCACTACGAGTTATTGAGCCATTTGGCTCGCCGGTACTAGCACCAGGAACAGTGCTTATACGCGCGCTTTCCGAGTGGCTAACTGCCTGTTTAAGCCAAGTTTCCAGTCCCGAATTCGGGGGCTGCAGCCCACTTCGCACTCGGAGTTTGTTTCTGCCGACGGATTCAAATAAGAGTCCGAAACGTCCGGCGGTAACAATAAAGTTGGTCGACCACCTTAGAAACCCCTTGCCCCAGAATTCTGTCCTACGGAATTGGTGGTATACGTTTGGTTTTTAGTTTGTTAATTTAATTTTAGTTTTAGTTTTTGTTTAGGTATTTTTGTTATGTTAAGCTTATTTTAGTATATGGTAGTTATTTACATATATTTATCTAACTTTCGCGGTATTTAACTAAACTAAAAAATAAACTAAACAAAAACGGTTACGCAGGCGGGACCCCCATGCACTCACGGCAGTCGACGAGAAGAACAGGCCAGCTGGATCATGCCCGCAGTCAAGCCGTCCACTGTGGGTCACGCCCGCATGCAAGCCGCCCGCTCCTTGCGTCGAGAAAAAGAGAGGACCGCCCACCTAGCGTGGACAGTGGCCGCAGTCAAGAAGGTTCCAGAATGCTCATGCACACACAATACGCCAGGAATATCCCAGAAAGACCGGAACCATATAAATATGCCGGAATTGACAAACTGAAGGACCCCGTTGACTTTGTGTGGTGTTAAATAAGGTCGTTGCCCATCAGAACCGTTTTCTTGCTTTCTTCTGCCTACTAGTCGGGTTAAAACAACTGAGCTATAACAAAAACTACAGTAAAGCTAACAAACTAATCAGTAGACCAAAATGTGAGGTAAACTAACATAGAAATAATAACACTTAAAGAAACGGCCAAGTGATATCTAAGGTGGTTGACCGACAGTTTTGTTACCCGTCAGACTAATAAAGCTTGCAGCCGATGACAAACATTGGTTTGACCGGCGTCC